GCTTTTTTAAAGCTTCAGAAACAATTGATGTCTGTTTTTCCAAATTGATAGTTTATTGGTAAAGCCCAACATTATTTAGTATTTTTGGCAGATAATTATTAGATTCACTTTGATGTTCAAGAGCAATCTCTTGATATTTATGATAATTATTGGCAAAAGTTTTTAAGCATTCAAAATATGAACTCCACCTAGTATCATTTGATAAATGGGGCATCAAGGAGTTTTTTTTATTTGCCCATCCATGTGCTTGATGCACATTTCTAAAATATTTGTTAACTTCCACGATGTGTCCAATGACAGTATTAGGAGATAATTATTTTTCAACAAAATTTTTTTTAAAAAAACAATTTGTGAAAAAACCCACCAAGTGGGTTTTTTCAAGGTAGGCCCACCCAATTAAACCCGGGTGGGTTTTTTCAAAGTGGGCCCACTTGGCGAACCCTGGAGTCATGACACAATGAATGATTATATGGTGCTTTGGCGCCTAGAGGTCTGATCTATGAAGATATAGCATACGCTTGCTATGTGAATGAGTATAAGACTGGCAACTTTAAGGATGCAAAGGAGCACATTGAAAAAGCATGTACCATTAAAGAAAGTCTGTTGAGTGAAGATCATTTTTTACTTCCATCAGCTAAAAGAATAACAGCTTTAATTTTTGAAGAAATTGCTAATGATAGTCATGATTATGAAACACAGCACAGATTGTTTCAGAGAGCTGAAGAACTCCACTTATCTGCTCTTCGTGTTACCAAAAACTACTTGGGTGAAATGAATGTTCTNTGCAAAACACTACGGTAACCTTGGCAGATTATATCAGTCCATGAAAAAATATGGGGCTGCTGAAGAAATGCTTTTGAAGGCTATTACTATTAAATCCACTCTGCTGGGAGGTAATGATTATGAAGTTGCCATTTCTGTGGGCCATTTAGCATCTTTGTATAATTATGATATGCTACTTTATAAAGAAGCTGAAACATTGCATTTGCAAGCCATAGATATAGGTATCACTCACTTTGGGAAATCATACAGTGGACTGGAATTTGAATATCGTGGTCTTTTGAGAATATATGCTCATTTAGGCGATGGAGACAGTCTTTCAAGAATGTATTCCAATCTGCATGATTGGAAAACTCTAAGAGA